TTTTACAGCAATAAAACGTAAATTAGATGATGTCATAAAGATTAGCGCACTATATGATAAACTGAGGGAAAATTCAGTAAGTATTGTAATTTCCTGCATTTGTGTATTTGTGCATTGATATGAATATGAAAGCACTGCCATTGTCGTGTCATGCTTTATATGGGACCCATGTGTGCAACATGTGTAAAATACATTGTGAAATTCGGACATTCACTGCAAGACCTGCTTATTGCTATTGAGAGGGCCACCCACAGAACTCACACTAGACAGGGTTTTTTCACTGCTAGAATGGGGTAGACAAGACAATAGTACTGGAAATGCAATACACATACACCAAAATATCGAGTTAAAGCTACTGGCTTTAATACCTCTCAAACTAATTACAAGAAACAAAAGCACAGAAAAATACAATGAAAAATTCACTTAAATAGGGGATTGCCTAGGGTGTGTGCATTGGTGATAATTTGATGACAATCAATGGCTTCTGCAAGACAACGGCGATGAAATACAAGTCTTGTTTGAAGAGAAACATCGTTATTCTAGGAGGGCACCTGCTGATAGCAGAGCAGTTCATACATGTCTCACAGAATGATGGTTGAAGCCTGTATCACTTGTCTTGCAATATCGCAGGAACATGCAGAGTATTCAGTTGAAATGGTGGACCACAACTGTTCTCAGTCTGCCCAATTTATAGGCATAAATAGCCCATAAATGTTGCCATTCCAGGGATTGAGGAGCCCCGGTATAAATGACATGGGTGTGCCTTGTATTACCCTGAGCTGTATTTTCATGACTGAACATAATAAATGCAAGTTTTGGTTTATGTGCATGTCAATAAAGCAAATATGGTGTTCTTTTCCTGTACTGTGTTTCAATTAGTGGATATTCAGAGAAATAATTGTCTCAATTTTAAAGGGCGGTGTTTGTCGTGCCGTGTCATGTCGTGCTGCGCCGCGCCACATCGCGCAAATACGACATTTATATCCCATCAATCCATTGTGCTCTTCTAATGGAAATCAGGAGTACAAGTTTTGAACTAACGTGACATTATCTAATTACCGAACTAATTACTTATTTCAGTTTGTACTTGTTGGTCAAAGTCGCCATCTCTGTTCATACGAGTCCCAAATCTTGCACATGTATGGAGCGACGACCAGCGCCCTCAAATCAGTAAAATGTATACAGCTACAAAGTGGTATTGGTACCAAGTTATCTTACTACTGTATTTGGTGCATGTTGTGTAAGTGGTACTTGTTACAATGTAATCTGTAATATCTTGTTTTACATTTTATTTCAGTTATCTCCAAATGTTATATCAGGTCTTCATGATATGTCACAAGCTATTAATAGTTACGATTATCAAGCAGGATTGGCTGTTCATCAGCAGTTGGTTGCTACTGGTAACTTCTCCGAAATTGGTACTTTTATGCCTGGATTAAAAGTTCTCATGCAGGTTGCCGTACAGCTGAGAGTGTAGTTATGATAAACACGGATCCCAAGAATTGGCTTACAAGGCTTGATTCTAAAAAATCTCTCTTCTTATGAGGGAAATTTGTATATGAAAGAGTTTTAATTTATTCTTTTGTTTCAACAAATCCAAGCATTGTGGCCGCTATGCTTGTTTTTTGGGGTGAACACTGGATTTGTTTCAAACAACTCCATTGTCTTAGTCAAGCTCATTTTTACCAAGCTATCCCGCTGGTTTTTATCCTCCAATTCATCAGCTTCCTTCTCAGTGATGCCATAACGATTCCTTGTCAGACAGGGCGAAGAATAACACTCTGATAATGTATGCATTTGCCTCAATTGTTTTGCAGCATAACATATTCATTGTATCATCAGGATATTAAAGTAGCTGCAAACCTTTGAGGAAAAATTAGTCATTGTGTCTTTCAATAAACAATTTGTTCGTAAAATTTTCTTTGGGATTAAAATACTGCTATTCCTGGGACGGGTGCTCTATGCGATTATGCATATAAGTACCTACCAACATTAGTTGACGGCCACGATTAGTGAATCATTTCTGTTTTTGTGACCTGATTTTGAAAGTACAGAGAACTCCTTGCTTGTGTATAGCATTACAAGGGTCTCCTCTCAAAAAAGTCAATTGGCCATTTCACTATATCCTAACATTTGTAGAAACTGTCCCAAAATAAAGATTGTTTAATTCTCTTTATTCTTTGTACTGTCTGTGACTTTTATGGCGTCAATACAGCAAATACAAAGTCATCTGCGGCTGCTTATTTGCTTATCAACAGTATCTGACCCACTGCCTCAATCTAAGACGATGTTACAAATATTTTATTTTGCTTAATTTTTGAGCTGTTAGGACACAATAGTTGTCACAACTGAAAGTTGGACGGCCTTGGAACTCCCTTTCACAGCACTTGTGGATTTGTGTTGGAAAATAACAAAATTTGTTGAGCAATGTTTCCTGTACAACAACAAACAAACAAACAAAATAAATCTACAGCAGGTTTTTATTTCTATTTAATTAAATTCTGGAGAAAAAAAATGTTCTAAATTTTTATTTATTGCCAGAATGCCCCTCGCCTGCCTGTATGATAAAGGGAAAAGGGGTGATATCTGGGTAGGTTGTTTCATTGAAAGATTTGAGATAAGCTTCCATTGAAGGTTGAGTGTAATGCTCCCCTGTGATAATAATAGAAATGTTCCCAATTTTAAACTTCTGTTTATTCGTCTGTATTGTAAATGAAGTGACAATGCAATGTTTGTAAAATGTCAATCAAATATTGTGATTTTTAACCAGATCAATAAACAAAGCATCTTTACAAAACTAAATATTAATGAGTTGCATTTTACTTGAACTTTTTTACCTCCGGCCTCCGCTGTCGA